CTTAAGAAACAAAAAATAAAATAAAAAACTGTTATATACAAGTGAATGTAATTTGTATTATTTCATGGATATTCAACGGCAAGAAATTTAAATACGACAAATAAGAACGTATCTTTTCGGACGATTCTTTGAAAATTTTTAAAGAAAAATTGGTTCTCGCGTGTATCGTTTAAGTTCAAAGATAAATTCTACGAAAGATCGCAAGAGAGTTATTATTTGTATCTTGTATTTTCATACGTTCTGTGAACGCGGCTGATAGAAGAAGACTTTTTATTTCGTTAACGCAATTTCCTGTGTCAAAGGGAAAAGCTTGTGTAGGTTGTGTTCAACTAAAGACATGTTACGTATTTATTTTGGCTCAGAGCACTTGGCAACGTGTTTCCTGCTTTTTAACCGCTTTGGTAATTACTGGAACCGCATAAGGTGCCTCTGGTCGATGTTTTTACTCTGCTGAGTCAACTTTCAGACGTAATCCTTACAGTTGCTTCAATAAGACATTCTCGTTCGAGTTAAGAACACATTCACATTCCCTTTAACAAATAACGTACGATCAATCATATTATATTTGTCCATTACTAATATTACATGAAATTTAATGAATTCTTGTGATTTAAACATAACGCCGAAATATTTTGTTTTATAAATATCAAAAATATAAATGAAATCTTTTCTAGATATCGTTGAATAGATGAAAAAGTCCATTTTCGACTAGGTAGTTTCTTCTAACGAGGAATTTGGCTGAAAAGATCGTTCCATTTTGAAATAGGATCAACCTGTTATCAACATTGGTTGTAATGAGCTATTTTTCTCTCTCTCTCTCTCTCTTCCTTGGCACAGTATTCGAATATTTAGCTTAGCAAGAGATGAAATACTCGGTCGTATTCTCGAGCACGAGTGCTTTTGCTTGCTGGCGTCATAATCTGATTGTCCTCTGGCCGACACTATTTCGCTAGGAAGTTTGCACAGACCAGCTCGATTAACGTTAGTTGCAATTGTTGAGCTCATCGGCAGTCTAATAAGCGACCATTCGATTTATGAATTTATTAGCTGAATGCGATTATTAAGGAATTCTACCCCGGCCTCGATAAATTCATTGAATAATGCTATCTCGAAAAGAGATTTATCTGAAAACATTAAGTGACGTAAATGAAGTAACAAAGTGGAAAACTTTATACCTTTCAAAGTACGATAAAGTGCATCGACTTTTCTATGCTCGCTAAAGACCAAACTCTATCTATAAGATGGACATTAATCGATGTCCTCTAACCATCGCATAAACTTCACCTAACAATGGCCGCACACGTACACACATACACATTTGCGCACATACACGACGACCCTTTAATCGGCTTAATACCTTGTCGAGCATTCGGCTTCATTCTCGAGAAATATGTTATCGATTGAGAAACGATACTCGATGGAATGTATGACGTTGAACGATAGTTATAAATTATGCAAATGTTTCATTATTCTCGTTAAATCATTATTTCGGTTTATTAATTTTCATTCGGATTTCGAGTAAAGTGATAAATTCGTATAGTACGTTTTATATTACTTCGCGCTTGTAGGAATCATTAAACAACATCAGTTCGTATCCTGTCGTAAAAATGAAATGGTATAAAAGGAATAAGAAAAAGTGTTTTTTTTTTTCCTGTGAGAGCAAGAACATGAAAAGAATGCATTAGTTAATTTCTCAACAGTAAGTATTCCGGAGAAAGGTCTAGTTCACTGGAGAGGAAGAAAATTTGTTTGAAAAAATATTCTATGGCTTTATATATTTATATATAGTATTTCGACGAAAGTCCAAAAGAAAAAAAATGCACGAGGTTATTTCGCGAGTAGCGAATTTACGAATGCGGAGAAACGCGTAGCGTTATACGTCGAGTATTCCACTACAATTCGAGGTATTCCAGGCTTCTACAGATCGCTCGGTTGATTGAACAGATCTTTCGCAATCTTTATTTACTCATCTCGGGACTTATGCTTCTCCGTATGTTCCGATATTCATCCTTCTCTCGTCCATGTACGCGCACGTATCAACATAATAATCTATTTCTGTCTCCACGAAGCAAAATATTACAGATTGAACTTTTCCATATTCTTGCATATTTCAATCCATGAATTCGATTAACAATAAACAATCATACGTTTTCTTTCAAATGTTCATTTTTTTTTCAAGACTTCTTTAACATATTCGAACAATTTTTAATCAATTTTCTAATCGGACAATAATTATCGAAAGATTTTTATTAGATAATTAATATCTTATTTATTTTATCTATCATAAATATAATTAAACAAGAAAATCTACAATTCTATATTGTTGAAATGAAAAGGTTTTTCATTGAACAAAATGTCTACGTTAAATATTATTGCATTTTTCATTTGGCTTAAAGACAATTATTATTATACTATACAAATTGTCTTATCTATTATTTAAGCTAAGTACCAAATGAATTATTAAATATATACAATTGTAAAATATATAAATTTTGTAAAAGCATTGGCTATTCGAAGAGGTCATAGGTGTATTAACAGGTATAAATTAATTTATTATTAGCACGAAAATTTCGAGGTTTTGAAATATAAAGAAAAAAAATTCAAAAGATTAGAAAACCCAGCAAGGGCAGATACTTATTGAATTCTTTAGTTAAAAGAGAGAGAAAGAGAGAGAGAGAGACATAGAAAGGCGAAGAAAGGTGCGTCTCGTTAATTAAGCGAATTGTTCGGTCTTCTTCGTTGATTGGAAATTGCGAATGGGATCAAGCAGAGCACGGGGAGGCGCGTTTTCCCTTTTCCCAGATGCCGCGAAAAGGGATCTTCGATCTCGCATGCTGAGGTAATAAGATCACGCTGGATTATGAGAACGGAAAAGAAAGAAAAAGAAAATGGGAGAGAAAGGGAAAGAACGAGTGAGTGAGTTAGCGAGTGAGTTAGTTAGTTAGTGAGTGAGTGAGTGAGTGAGAAAAAAAATCTCGTTAAAGTTTGTCCTTGGTTTTTTCAATCTCTGATCAAGGATCGAACTTTTCCCACTAACACGAGGAAGGAGATCAAGCGCGATCCAAATCACGAATATCCAAATAATTTTTCTTTTTTTTTTTTAACTTTGCTACTCGAATTGTTGGAACAAAAAATTTAACTCTTGGTGAAGTTTGACGAGTTGATTCTAAGGGTTTTCGAGACGGCAGTGGAAATGTTATCTCGTAAATTCGAGTTTGTAGAAAGGTAGCGAAGAATAAGATTTATCGCATAACTCTCGATCGTTTCTAACTCGTTTCTCTGGATATCGACAAGAGAGGTGAGTCGAAGAGAGAGTGGGGAGAGGGAGAGAGAGAGAGTTGAGTTTTCGGATCGAACTCAAGTACTATGCGAAAAGTATTTAGAAGGGAAGGAGGAAAATAGATGAATAGATAGATAGATAGGTAGAGGAGAAGAGGGTAACACCGAGAGAGTGTTACACTCCATTAAATTATTGTCACTCGAACCGAAAACTCGTCCAACCTGTGCAGCATGACTGTCAGGAGTCTACTATGCACAAAGCATCTTTTCATAGAAAAAGCTGCTGTTCGATGTAGCGAAAGAAATTTGACTTCTATGGATTACTGATATGGAAATACGTACGCTTCTTTAACACCCTGGTTTTGGTGGCACGTTATACCGATGACAATCAAATTCTTCGATCATATTACGAAAATGTCACGGTTTTTTCTTTGTCTTTTTTCTTCCCTTTTATTTTTTTTACTTGTTTATTTTTTTCTCAGGAAAATCAATTTTTATCATATTCCGCGAACCCTTTCGAATAACTTACGCATGTAATTTAGGTTTGATGACGTTTACTATCCTTTTTTTACACAACTATCATTAACTTTTAACCCAATATCTTCAATCACAACTACCGCAAACTAGTTTGCAATCAGATAGTATTATGGAATCTCGCATAGCGTTTGAAAATTTCTTCTTTCGAAGAACGTTCCACGTTTTTGACGTTCTTTGACGTATTCGGATACGAAACTTGAATCGTATAGATTGAGTACGATATATATATATATATATATATATATATATATATATATATATGTCGTTCTCTCTTTTTCTTTTTCTTCTACCATGTTCGACATTATTCCCACGAGAATATCTTTATAATCCATCTCGATATTTTTTAACGATTTTACAAATTCGTAACATGTAAAACTGGAATAAAATAAAATAGGAGAAAGAAGAAGGATTTTCAATGTAAAAAATTTGTTGCGATTTAATTCGATAGTCGTATTCTTTCATGCAAAGCCTATGCTACCAAGTTTTTCCCAGAAACGAGAAAAAATAAGAATAATAGAAAAACAATGACAAATTGAAATACTTTAACTAAAGGTGGAAAAAACGAGGAGAGAGAATATTCTATAAAAACCGATTAACGAGGAAACTTGTATACTCGTTCGTGGAATTTTTTCATATCACTGTTTGCAATAAGATAATCGATATCATCTGAAGTATATGGTATGTCAAAGAATTAATCACTTTATATATATACCATAGTATACGGCATGTATATAGATTGTTCACGGTAAATAGCTGGAGTACATAATTCAGAAAAAAAAGCGAAGATATAGTAAAAAAATTGTTCCTTTCGATACCTGGGTGTTGCACGACGTTGTAAATGTTATTAAGCTTGATTTATTTTTATTTTCATCTAATAACTTTCCAGTAAAATATGGGAAATTATTAATCGATCGAAAGGTTCATCGATAACTAGCATATAAGCGTTAAGCTTTAAGTAATTAGGAGAGTATACGTTCGTGAAAATGAGAGATCGTACGTATCGGATGCGTTCCGCCCTTCATACCATCTGTGGTGAACGAGAGAGTCAATCTGCTTATATCGTTTACCGATATACATATAAGTAGATACATGGTTCAATCCATCATATATATATATATATATATATACTCGATGTACATATACGTAGATATGATATAATACATATAGGTTGTGTGTATACGCACGTGTGTGTGTGTGGTACGCGCGCATACTCGCATATCCTTCAAATCCGCTAGCCAGGTCGGAAGGCACGCAAAGAATTTCCAGCCTAGCAGAGATCAAAGCACTTCGGTTATATGAGAATAGCTTGTATATCTTTTTAGAACTACGCTCTATTATCCTATTATCACCTTCCAACGTAACCTCTTTAACGTTCTTAGTTATTTATAATATAATAAATCGCAACACTCGTCTTTTTCCAAGAAATCTCTTGGACTGAATGAAAGCTTCATTTTTTTAAACGTCCTCTTTTCTTAGAATTTATTATTTCGTTTAGTTCGGGATAGATGAAAATGTGAAAGTTTATCGGGGTAAATAATAGACCCAACCAAAGTGACCAGTTCTCGCGTTCGTGACGTCCGTTCAACGAGAGATCCAATATCGGTCGGTCATGGTGTCTGCATACGGTCTCTCTATTCATCACTATTCTCCGAGATTTAAGATAACGCGATACCTATGTATATACACATACGTTGAAAACAATCATCAAACTAAACTATTATATATACGTTTTAAATTGTACGACTTTTCATGCGTGGCTTTCATGCGTGGCAACAAAATGTTTGGGTTCGTTGAATCGTAAAAAAAAAGATCTCCCTTTGGGAAATTGGAAAAATATTTGCTACAATAATTGATCCCTTTTATTTTTTTTCTCCATTTATTTGTATAAATAAATGTTTGAAATGAAAAAGGCGTGGAAGAAAATAATTTTTAGGTAGGGGACGGGGGAGGGGGTTTGGTTGAGTTTGGGATTGGAAAAAAAATTGTCTTCAATTTAACCCTGTGATATATATTCTTTCATTGATCGCGTGACTCTGACGAGCTTCTCCTTTCTTCGAGGAGTGATAAACACTTAACTGCATTCTAAATAGACACGAAAACTCGACGTGACTACGTTTGTTCGGCTTGTGCAACAAGTCGGATTAACAGCTGTTCCGACGGAGCACGTTGGCTTATAGGTGGGTAACGCGCTGATATGGCATTCCTATTTGGCACAAGTCCAACACTCCTTTCCAAAACTTTCTCTCTCTTTCTCTCCATGAACTTACCCTTGTAGTCGACTACATATATTATATACAGGATTTGGTTTAATTTCACGTGAAAATGTATCTACTAGATTTTGTCGAGAAAAAGATTTTTACGTTGACTTTTTTTTACTTAAGTATATAAATGGTTTTTCAAAATATATGACTTATAATATCTACGGGTGGTTACAGTTGTGATCTAGAAATGAATTGTTTGTTCGAATTAATTGTCTTTGTCTTTCATTAATTCATATAAATTTATTGACTATTTATAAGTAAGCTTCTCATCTCATGACTCATGATTTTTGATTCCCAAATAAATGGATTCGTTGTAGAGGGCCAATTAATCGGCCAGCACGATCACCAGATATAAATTAGTTGGATTCTTATTTGTGTGGACATTTAAAGTCTTTAATTTACAACACGTCAGTAAATAATTCTGAGGAACTATGTCACCGTGTATTAAAGACAGTTGTTGACTAATTTTAACAACAGCAAGTATTTTTGAACGAGTGATTAAATCTATGACGCATCGAAGTCGTAAATAACCGCTTTGACAAGTTTCTATGAAAATTATGTAACAATACGTATAATCCGAAAATATATGGTATATGATTATATGAAACCACCCCTGTAAGTTATATCCATATCTATTAAAACACTCGGTATATACTATTAATAAGAAATTTTAAAATCACTCGATGATTTGTTGTTATATCAAATGTTAACAAGTTGAATTAAGTTTTAAGAGATTTCAACGTCTTTTTATGTCCATAATGTTCTTATATAGATAAAACACCTTGTTTAAGGCAATGCTCGAAATGGATTTTTCCACTGGGACATCTCTGGCCACTTCTATTTACCATTTTACTATTTACAAGCATTCAAATATATTTAATTAAAATTGAAAAATTAATTACAAGGATGTTCAGAATATGTCAGCGAAAGAGCAATTTGAAGAAAAATATTCGTTCGTTGATAAAAGAGATAACAAAAAATAATATGAAAAATATAAAACATACTGCTCATAAGTTTTAGTTGACAAATAAATCTACCTCGGCTCCTTTAAAGGCATTCCATTTATCTTCTTAATATCTTGTTTCTCTGAATATATGTAGTGATTTTTCAAACTTTTGGCTGGTGATATACGTATGATAAATTTTTGTAGGAAAAAAAAAATTCAAATGATCTCTTTCCTCTGGGTATATATGTGTGTCACAGCGACCGACCTGTGGAATAATAGAAAAGGGTAGGTATAAAACGTCTCTGGACAGTATTTCTCTTTTCTCGGAAACGGCAATAACGCGATCAAGGGGTGACGAACGAGTTTTACTTAAGCATACGAACGGAGAAACTATCGGATTGCAAACTTATATAGCTTTGGTTCGGAATATTCTACTGCTACTACTCCTGCTACTGCTTTATTCTGTTCATGATACTAGTAGCAACTGCTGAGTAAGTAGAAGATCGAATTACAGGACGACGATCCCTCCCATCTTGCAGGACATCCGTGAGGATACCGTCGAACGGATATTTCAAGTCTGATCGGATGTCTTGTTTCTAGTTGAGCTTAAAAGAAGCTCCACTGTACGTATTCTGTCTCTCTATCTCTCTCTCTCTCTCTCTCTCTCTCTTTCTTTTTATCCTACATTTATTGGAGATAAGACTAAAAAATTCTTGTCTTCTATTATATGCCATCCTATAAAACATTCTATTCCTTTATAATTTTCTGATTTATTTTCAAACATATACAACAGCGTTTGTAATTTCCTTCGGTGCTCTTTCATCGGGATTAAACTTGTCCTCGTTGTTAGTTCGTTTTTCTTCTTCTTCTTTTCTCTCATCCTATAGATCTATGGCAGGTAGGATTAATCGAGGAACGATAGCAGAATATCGAGATTATCGTTTGTTAGATCCAAATGCATTAAGCTTGATCAAATCGTTTTAATCAATCGCAAAACACCAACCTATGAACTAACATGAATTTTAATATTTGTTTTATCTTCTTTTCTTCTAAATCATTCATGTCAATATTGACCGTAAATCATATCTCATTTGAATCTATAATAAAAAAGGCTTTCACCGAGATTCTTATCGTTCGTTGAGGAAACGTTTATATTATTTCGACTCGTTCGAAAAATATTACAGTTAGAATAAAACTAAAATACGTTAGTGTTAAAGTCGAAATTATAATACGATCGTTGATACAATTATGACTTTCTTTAGTGTTTTTTTTTTTTTTTTGGCAAAAAGAAAATCGTTTTCCCGTAAATCGTAGGAAGCACGTCTATATAAAATTCGATAGAAAGCTTCGAGAAAGCAGCTCACGTTAGTAATAAAAGAGGATCCGTCGAATTAGAGTTCTTAATCGTCGGATGGTTCGCCCGCTGCGAAAGCTTTTTTCTTTTTCTTTTTTTTTTGTCTTCCTTCTCTCTTTCTCTCATTCGATATCGTTCCATCGACAATGCATTAGCGGTACGAAACGTTGTTTGCCGAATAACGTAATATACTTTTTGTTTTTCGAAAGTATCTCTTTCCCTCTCTCTTTCACCCCCTATTTCTTTTCTTTTCTTTAGTAGCAAGTTTTAAACGAAGCACGTTTAGAAGGGGAAGAATGAAGACGGGGGAGGGGGAAAGTTCTATCACGAGACGAAGCTTCGCTCCTAAAACTCGTTAACAACTGTAGACGGAAAGAGTTATCTCACGGCTGTTAAGATGAGAACGATCTTTCATCGTCTCAAAATGATGATCATCATCACCTAAAAACTCCATTCTGCAGCTCGATAATTTTTCAACTTAAAAGTTTCTTCGTCCACATATGTTATTCGATAAAGATAAGCGGAAGAGAAAATAGTCTCTGTAAACTTTTCATTATATTTTTAATAAAACTCGTGTTCTATAAGCGTTGGTACAAATACGAATGTACAAGCTCGCGAAATCATTTTCGTAGAAACGGTGCGTAATTAATACGTCAACAAGTCGACACAGTATGGAAATCGAGTTTATTTTACAAAATGATGTTTCACGAGTGAAACATCAGGTCAAACTATTGAAAATAATATTTTCGTTAAGCATTGATAAAACATCATTTGATTAATGAAATTATGTAAGGATAAACGTCATCTGACGTATTTCAAACGATCGTGGTATTTTCAGTTTCAATATTCACCATAAGAATCTTGTGTATATATATATATACATAAACTAGATGAAAATAGTTACTCACCTCAGGAACGTTGTCAGAGCGTAGCAGGACGAAAAGCGTTTGAGCGCGACCCGAGACATGCACGCCTGACGTTCAAGGACCCGTAGAAGGTCCTCCGCCAGTGCTTTCTCTCTCTCTTTCTCTCTCTCTCCTTCTTTCACTCTCTTTCTCTCTCTCTTTCTCTCTCTCTTTTTCTTTTTCGTCCTTGCACGCACACAAATGCACACACGTACACTAGAAGTTGCGCGCACGCACAGCCCAGACGCAACGCGCAGTAAAATGCGCTTTCCCTTCAAAAGAGCATCGACCACTGCTCGTCCTTTTCCTGGACTCGTCTATTTTCCTCTTGTACGGAACTACTTTTCTTCATTAATCGGAAGTTCGAGGGGCTGCGTAGATTTTAATGACACGCGACTCATCGAGGGACACGAGGTTTAAGTGTTACTATTTTAGTAGTAACGGTAGTAAGTAGTGAACAGTAGTTGTGCTAGTAATAGCAGTAGTTGTGCTAGTGGTAGTGATAGTAGTAGTAATAGCAATAGTAGTAGTAGTAGTAGTAGTAGTAGTAGTAGTAGTAGTAATAGTAACAGTAGTACGCAAGAACGTGTTAACTATATTTTGCCCAGCGGTCGTAAGAAACGACGAAGCGACGCCGGTGCGAAACGCTGACTGAACCACTGGCCAAGGAGAAGTGAACGCGAAGGGTGATCCCAGCTCCCTCCTACTTTACCCTCTTCCTCTCAACCCTTCTTGCTCTCCCACCCTCGAAGCTTCGCGTACACACGCCGAGGCACGAAAGGAGGTAGAG